GAATGACTAGCACATACATGCGAGGGGAATCTTTACCTTTACAAATGCATAGATTCATTTCTGGACCCCTATATATTGCACATATATTTCCAAATCTCTTTCTCTTAGCCTCAAGATCAGTGCGCATACAAATGAGCATAAGATCAGAAAATGATAAAATCGGAAGAACTGCTTCTCCCCCACACCAAGAAACCACATTTCCTTTCTTCAAGTTAGCCAAGCAAGATTCCACTAATTGATTGACACTCCTTAGCCCAGACTCGCTCTTCCCTGTCGCCCCAAACACAGATCCAACGAACCTGTCTGTTTCTTACCAAGTTCCGCCCAAGAACGCTCCTCCTCCAATCACAAAGAGGGAACGCAGGACGGGCTTCATCGAAAGAGCCATTCATTTCTCGGTTGATATAGTTAGCTAGGAAACCAGCGCCTGCCAATGAGCATCCCTCTCCTGTAGCTCCGCCTACTTTAATGTTTGCTCCATATGTTCCCCCTTAAGCCCCAAAAGCTATATAGATTGCTGGCGTGCGGGGAAAACAAGAAGGGGAGGTGCGCGGGCGGGCGAGCGCCCGCAGGGCCGGTAAAATTTGTTTCGGCGCGCGCTTTTTCCTGCCTCCTGGACGGTGTCCGACGAGGCTCATTCTACGGCCGTTCTCCCCTCCCTTAGGACCGCGGAGGCCTCAAAAAGCGAAGCCTGAAGAAAGAGGCCCTTCAGAAGTCACGGCGAGGCCAGGCCGGCGGCAATGTCCGTGAGGAGGAGCGGCCAGGGGCGCGCGGTTGCGTTGCTGCGGGTGACCACGACGGCGGCGGCGACGACAGCCTCGAGGGCGCGGGGCCTGCACCGCTTCCTTTCCTCCGCGCCGGCCTGCCTGTTGCCTGCTTTTCCTCCTCGCCACGGAGCCCTGCCGGGGCTCTGGGCCCGACAGTGAGCCGCCGCGGGCTGGGCCCGGGCGGAAGAGCGCAGAGACCGAGATTGCGGGGCGCAGGGAGCTGCCGAGGGGGCAGCCTGAGCTTCGGCCGCTTGAGCATGGGAATCCTCTTCACCCGCATATGGAGGCTGTTTAACCACCAGGGTGAGAAGGGAGGCCGTGGGGGAGGCAGGTGGCTCGGCGGGCCGGCCAAGGCTGACCTGGCCCGTGGGGGAGGCAAGCCAGGGCGACCCCTGTTAAAAAAGAAGGGCTGAGGGGGGGAGAAGAGCGCTTTGAACGCGGTCGGTCCGGCCGTCCAGTCCCGGAAGCCACCTCCAACCCGGGTGCTTTGGGCTCCTACCCCGACGCGTCCCGGCCTTGTTGGCCGATGGGTTTATGGGAGCGGAGTTGCAACGCGTCTGGGAAACGCCCAGCACCACTTTGGGGGTGGGGGGACGGGGGCAAGGTAGAGTTAGATAAGAGCCCCATAGCCGAGACTCTAATAAAAGGGTGCAGAGAAGAGCGACAAAGATAATTAGGGGACTGAAGTCTAAAAACGTGACATGGTTTCAGGAGTTGGGTGTGTCTAGTCTAAAAAAAGTGGGGGAGATGTGGTGGCTCAGACGCTGAACTTGTCGATCAGAAAAGTTGGCAATTTGGCAGTTCGAATCCCTAGCATCTGCGTAATGGAGTGAACGCCTGTTACCTATCACAGCTTCTGCCAACCTAGCAGTTTGAAAGCTGGCAAAAATGCAAGTAGAAAAATAGGAACCAACTTTGGTGGAAGGTAACATCGTTCCATGTGCCTTTGGCATTTAGTCATGCAGTCCACATGACCATGGAGACATCTTTGGACAGCGCTGGGTTTGAAACTGAGATGAGCACTGCCCCCCCAAAGTCAGGAACGACCAGCACATATGTATGACAGGAACCTTTACCTAGTCTAAAAGGGACTAGGGTTGACATGATAGCCGTATTCCAGTATTTGAGGGGCTGTCACAAAGAAGAGGAAGTCAAGCTATTCTCCAAAGCATCTGATGAATGCAGGACAAGAATCAATGGATGGAAACTAATCAAGGAGAGAAGCAACTCAGAAACTAAGGGGAAATTCCCTGACAGAACAATTAATCAGTGCAACTTGCCTCCAGAAGTTGTGGGTGCTCCAACACTGGGGGCTTTCACTTGTCTGGAATGGTATAGGGTCTCCTGCTTGAGTAGGGAGTTGGATAAGAAGACCTCCAAGGTACCTCGGTACTGATCGTTCATTGGTTTCGGGAGACATGTTGAGTACAAACACATTTTTCCCATAAGGAATAATGTGAGTCACAAGGCAGCCAACACTGTCAAGTTCTAGCTTGTAAGTTGAGCACAAAACGAATGATGATTACCGGGACAAAATTTTCATGTCAAAATACATTGAGTACCAAATTTGATAAGTTTCAAAACAGTTGCGTATCAAAGTTCCACTCTATTAGAAAAGGCAGTATAGTAACAGTACATGACACTATGTACTGTTAATCATCTTGGTCCACCACTTGTGGTCCCCCACTTTTATTTTTTTTAACATTACATAATCTTGGAAACATTGCATAGTTACAGGATATGGTTTACCTCTTTCTTCAAACTACATCCCATGTTGGCTTAAATTTTGAAAGCAAAGTGAAAATGGTTGGGGATCCTGTTTTGGAGTTTTCTTAGCTGCTTAAAAAACAATTTCACAATTGTGGTTTATTCACTGGAGGCTGAGGGGGAACAGCAATAGTAATATGTTAACAGATGAATTCCTGTTTAAAAACAAATAGCTTGTATGCTAAGCAGTGTGGCTATTGAATAAATGATTGGTTTCATAGGTTACTCACTTTTTTGTGTATCTATCAATCCTTCAGGTATTGCAGGTCTCTTCTCTAATGCCTTGTATGAACCTATAGTGAGAGAATTCCTTCATAGTTTACATAATTAAACCTAGAATTCACTAGCACACAAAATGTAGTTATGACCACTGTCTTGAATGACTCCAGAGGAGGATTAGGTAAATCTGTAGGAGAGAAGGCTTTCAGTAATGAAAACTATATATTGTAAACTGTTTAAAATGTTAAGAGGAGGGTGCTATTACCTTTGCTTGCTGGTTATCTTGCTGGCCTATTAGGCCTGTGGTCACATTCAGCAGGATATTTTTTACCTTCTTACGTTAAATATTTTTAAAAATGCATCCAAATAATTTGTGGTGATTGAATGTCAGGAGAAAGATGTATAAATGTGTGACGTAATGTTGGTTTTTTTAGGTGTGCACAAAGCCTATGATAAAGTAGTAAATTTGGGTTTGCTACAGATTTGTAGTTTAATAAAATAGTTCTGTAAAGTTACAGAATCTTAAGTTTTGATATGTTGAAATTATATTCTTTAAAAAGTATCATCAAGACTTTATTAAATGTAAAATTGTATTAAATTAATTGTGTAGTGTAAGGAATAGTGTAAGGAATATTGGCTACATTGTCAAATACAGAATTTCCTTTGAAAACTTAAGTTTGAAGAACACATGGAAATAGTTCAGAGGGAGTGAGTAAAAGAATTAGATAAAAGGTAAATATTTAGAAACGCTTGCCTACAGAATTCTGGAGGTTGATTTTGGTTATTTTCTGTTTCCATCTTTTACGTACTTAAGGGGAAAAACAATGTTTGCTTCTTGCAAGGTTTGAGCTGTGTTATCTGAGCAGGTGCCACCTGGAACCAACTCTTGAGAGCTGAGGATACAGCTCTCTTGCTTCTGCCGCATCAATAATTGAAATGCTATAATAGGAGCTTAACTGATAGGGAAGAATTGGGCAAACAGGAGTTCCACTGTATGTATGTACTAGGTACATAAACAACTTATGCATCATTCTGAAACTAAGACTGTCTTTTTTCATTCATTACTTTGATGCTTCTTAGACTTACAGAAAAATTATGATAATTTTGTTACATATATAGTATACATATATAGTATCCTTGATAGAGAATTAGTTGTTTAATGACCATTCAAAATTATGATGGGCTTTTACAACCTGTCCTCTAAGTTATGACTGCTGCTCCCCCACATTTTGGATCCTTGGCAGCTGACTCACATTTACAATTGATTGAGATTTGTCACAATTTTTGCTTTATGGTCATTGTAAAAATGCTCTTATAATCGAATCTGCTCATGTGCCTCAACTGCAATTCCAGGTTCCATTAGGTTGTAAGTTGAGGACTATATCTGCAAATAAAATTTGTATTGCCATGCACACGAAAACCAGTGACTCCTTGAGTTTCACTTAGTTAACAGGAAATAGTCAAATGTTTGTATCTTGTAGAAGAAAATTTGCTGCAAAATTTTAACTTTAGTCTTTAATTAAGCATCCTGTGTCATTGCTTTGTCATTATTTCTTTCCCTTAGGAGTTAATTATTATTTGAGAGAAATTAGTTCATGTGGTTATTACACAATGCGTAGTCAGTCTACTAAGATTGTTGTTAAATGTAATACAACAGCTCAGCTGCACTTCTGTATTATAGTGATTCCATTATTAGAATTAAAAACTATTGAATAATTATTTAGATATATCACTGAGAAATTAAACTTACCAATTAGGTGCCATCAAGTTAGTGTTGACTCTTAATAATCTTCTCCAAGATAACACAATAAAACTCAAAACAAATTGCAGTAAAATTACTATAAGTAAATAATATTATGTACTGCATAAAACATTATATTATAGTAAACACCACTGTTACATTTACCATTTAATACCAAGCTAAAAAATACAACACTGCCAAAATCTGGGTGTTACTGTATTAAGATGTCTGGGGAGATAGAAATATTAATCTAGTACCAAAAGTAATAATATGGACAAAGCTATATATAGAGATAAGCCCAAGACACTTGAAAGAAAGCCTTTATCTTGGGTAGACACATATGGAATAAGATGCATTTACTTTCTGCCAAGTAAGTTTTAAGTTAATTCTAGTAGGAACATGAATAGGGCTTAGAAATAAAATGAAATTTAATCACAATGCCTGAGGCAAAAAGATTTGATAACTATATTTTATGCAAGTTGAAATATCTTTGTCTGTTTTCAGAAACCAATCCCTGTATTGTCAAATAATATAAATAGTAAGGCAGAATCACTGTAGTTACATATCCTTGTTTGGACAGGATAACCACAAATGATAAGGAAATACTCAGCAAGCTAGCATTTTTTTAAAAAGAACATATTTAAACTATAGGCCTTTTGCATCAATTGTTCGAAAAAATTTAAGATTATTTCATATGGAAATAAGCAGTAATTAAGTCAATTCTATTAATTCTAGCCATATAAAAGACTTTTCTTGTTTAACACAAGTTCAGGAACCAAGGGCCATAATATAAACAAGTATAAGACAAAAAAAATCCAACAATTTGGTCAATATGCTTCTTCTAGCTATGTACCATTCAGGTGTTGGTGCTTGTGTTTTTTTCAAGGGTTCCCTCGTTGGGAGAGGAGAAGGATGCTTCTTGATTTGAATTGGGAATGAAAAAAGATGGCATAGCAGTGTGCTCATGGTCTCTTGCTGACTTATAGACTCAATTTGAAGCAAAGTGGTATTTGTTACATCTTGGGAGATCAAGAACAGTTGGTCCTCGACCTACGACCACAATTGAGCCAAGATTTCTATTGCTAAGTGGGCAGTTGTTAAGTGATTTTTGCCCCATTTTACAACATTTCTTGCCATAGTTGTTAAGTAAATCACATGACTCTGGGACACTAAAACTGTCATAAATATGAGTCAGTTGCCAAGTATCCAAATTTTGATCACATGCCTTTGGAGATGCTACAACTATTGTGTGAAAAACAGTCATAAGTCATTTTTTTTGTGTAGTAGTAACTTTGAATGGTCAATAATGTTGTAAGTCGAGGACTACTTATACTAACAAATTCATCCTAGGCCAGTCCACTTCAGTAGTGTCTTTCACATATATAAAAAAGACAGTGTAATGCATGGAAATATTATTACATTTGAATTGCATCTTTCTGCATTGTGCAGTTGGTGAAAAAGTTGTAGTCTGATATAATTCTGCCTATAATAGATTTGTCAGAAGAAAGTAGTTAACTGAAACATGAGTGAGAGAAAATGTTCTTTCAAATATATTAAAAACTTTTACTTAATCTAACTTTTGAATTATTGTTCAGTTTGAATGGAATATAATCAAAAATTGTTAATATGGGTCCTATTTGAAGTTAATACTTCCACTTTTAAAAAATTATATAATTTTTTCTTATATTCTCTATTTAAAGCAAAAAAAAGCAATGTAGTTGATTTTAATTTAATGTTTTAAAGAATTCTAACATTGAGGGAACTTCAGTAGAAAATTTATCTGAATGTCTAAAAAATGGTATGCTTGGTAGAAAAGACTTTTATTATGTGTTTTTAGGTTGAATTCTCAGTTCACATTGTGGGAAGAGAATTGAGGCTCCATAGATAAAACAATGTTATTTGAATATCTGCCCTGTTTCTAGCAACAAAATAAAGGAACTAGTGGTGTGTTAGAGTTACTATTCATTTAATTTGAATATAGCATTGAATTATGGATCAGTACTATAAAACCACAGTAACTCTCAAGCTTTGTTACTATCTTTGTCAGACAAATATGGAATATTTCTTTTTTAGATTAGTGTTATTTCCAGATCTGAAATAGTGATTAATCTTGATGTCAAATAGTAAAACAGAAAATTTCCAAAACATGGTTTACAAACTACCATAAATCATAGTTAATATTCTGGTGTCACAACCAACTGCTTTAATCTAAAATTAAAAAGGAAATTGTAAAACTTTTGGGGAATGCTACAGATGTGGTATGGAAATCCAAGACTGGGTTTTTATTGTAGTGCTAAATTTTGGTTGAATGATATTACACTGATAAGGTTTGCAACTTATACATTTGCCTACTCGTCTGATTTTTGTACCCTACTACTGATTTTTATATACCACAATATGATATGAAATATAATTTGATATTTGAAGAATAACTTCAGAAAGTAAGTTTATAATAATGTGTGGAATATATTTTGAAAGAATAAAGTTGAAAACAAAAAAAATGCTGATATTTTATGTAGCGTGTTTTATATAGTGTATGTTAGGTGTCATTTAGAGAACAAAATTGATAATATCAATGTATTTTAAATTCTGTATGTAACAATATTTACAAATGTAAATGATTACAATTACTATTAAAAGCTTTAGTATTATAAAAACATAAAAAATATTTTAAAATGTGTTAGGCAAAGAGGAGGTGTTTATGACAGTGGACTCACCTCAATATTTTATTAGTACTCTGAAGTCGCCTGGCATTCATTATCCTATGATAATCATTTCTGTGTGAAAAAACATCCAGAGACCTGAGCATTATATACACTGTTGCACAATAGTATACATTGTTGTAAGTAGTCCTCCACTTACAATCACAATTGAGTCCAAATTTTAATTTGCTAAGTGAGAAATTTGTTAAGTGAGTTTTGCCCCACTTTATTACTTTTCCTGCCACACTTGTTAAGTATACAATTATAACTCAAGGACTATCTGTACAGTTCATTGTAATATGTGATTATGGAATCAGTAAATGTATGTTTAGAAATAGGCAACCTAGTGACCTCCATATATTTTGGGGTGCATTTCCCATCAGCTCCAGGTAGTTTTGCCAGAGCCAAGGGTGTGTGAGGCATGAAAACTATATGACTATATGCTCAAACATTCTTTTTTCTTTTTTTCATTGCAGAGCACAAAGTGATAATAGTTGGGCTTGATAATGCTGGAAAAACTACTATTCTTTATCAGTTGTAAGTATAAAGTAACATGAACAAGTGATTTGAATTGCCTTGTTGATTTAAAATATTGACAGTAATAGGCTGAAATCTCCGTATGTATGTATCATATTTTTCGCTCCATAAGACGCTCCTGACCATAACACATACCTAGGTTTGGAGGAGGAAAACAAGAAAAAAAACCCTGCCTCTGCCTCCCAGCATCCCTGCGGTATTCATCTGGCTAGCGTCCTCGCAGAAAACCGCCTGCTGCCTCCATGTCTGCTGCCTCCATGTCTGCTGCCTCCACCGGGGAACGCTGGAGCCTTCCCCTCTGATCAGTGGTTGGATAGGCCTGTCGGAATACTGTTGATTAGCTGTTCCAGATGGCGGGGATTGTTGCTGCCATTCACCACTGCTGCCTGTCACCCATATTCACTCCATAAGATGCACAGACATTTCCATCTACTTTTGGAAGGAAAAAAAGTGTGTTTTGCACTTAATCATATTTGGCAATATAATTATTTTTATTAATTTAAAGTAGAATGAAACATTATTTTTAAGACTTGCAAAAAATGATTGTACCAAAGGAATAAAAAATTAAATGCTATGCTCAGTTACTCAGAATTTAATTCTATTGAAATATATAGGATTATATTACAGATGTTTCAGAAATAAATGTAAGTGTATTTTTATAACTTAAATTACTATCATCATAGAAAAGAAAATGAAATGTTTTTTTCTTTTGCAGTTCTATGAATGAAGTAGTGCATACTTCCCCAACAATAGGTAGCAATGTGGAAGAGATTGTAGTTAATAATACACGTTTTCTTATGTGGGATATTGGAGGCCAAGAATCTCTTCGATCATCATGGAACACATATTATACAAATACTGAGGTAAGAACATAATCCCTATAGGGAAATCTTAGAAGTAGGGGCACCATATCTGAAGTACAGAATTCCAGACCACCTTTGTATAGTTTCTTTGCTGTCTTGTAATAGTTGTTTGGATATTTTTATCTCCGATATGGTGGCTCTAAAACATTGCTGTGGGTCATTTCATATAAAACTTTTAAGATATGAATCAATAATTTGCTTTGTTGATTTTAAAATGAAACAGAGTAACTTATTTACTTAAATTAGCCTATTAATTTAAAGTACCTATTAAAAGTGCCTATTTTTAGAGTTAATAATCACCTTTTTCCCAAGAAATTTATAAATATTTTATTTAAAATATATTTTGGAGGGAAAGTGCTTGCTTTGAGATTAACTCTGTAATCAAAATCAGAATTCACTTTTCTGTTAAATGATAGGGCAGATTTTGAGAGAGAACCAACAACCTCCTGTACATGAGAATGGGATGTGTGTGTACATGTGTGCTTATGAGAATGCATGTGGAGGAGTAGGATGGTTTTCATTTTTTTTCAAGATACATGGTATCTGTAATTCATTTGGTTTATAATTCTTGAAAACCCTTGGGGAACATATACATTATAACTGTATGTCACAGACATAAGTAACTATGATCTCACCTTCCATGATGTGAGGCTGCTATGAAATTATCTCTACTATTTATAAACTTTACCCAATTGAAGAACTATATAGTATCTTTCAAATAGTGCAGGAAAGATGATGTCCTGAAACCTTAGTGCAGGGTCATTTTGAAGAGAGCTAAACATTCCGCACTGGCTGGCTAGGTTGACTGGAGCTGTTGAGGTGAAGAAAGTAACAGACTTATTACAGCATTGTCTTTGGGATCAGTGTGAACTAAAGAATACATCAAATAAAAAGATGAATTCAGTAATACAAATTAAGGTACTTCCAGAAAAAATACATGTATGTTTTACTGGGTTAGAAATAAAACACTAACAACGTAGGTGCTACTTAAAAACATGGTTGGGAAGCTAGCATTAATAATTTTCTGAGAATGTTTATTTATACTGGGCATTTGGATCAGAAGTTATGGTGCTCTGATATTTAGTAGAATACTGCTAATCAATGCAGCTGCCAAAAGTATGGCAATTGCCTATTGGATACACTCCTCAGAAAATTACACAGAACTCCTTGTTGGATTGGGCAGTTTCATTTAGTGTTCCAATGATCAATTATTGCAATATTGTAATTGTCTTAATTGATAATGTTTTTATAAGGGATTGCTTTATGGAAGCAGCTTCACTTTTCTCTGATTTATGATACAAGATATGTATGAACATTCTTAATTTACAAATTTCTCTGATTCTTACAGTTTGTGATAGTTGTTGTGGATAGCACAGACAGAGAAAGAATTTCGGTAACTAAAGAAGAATTGTATAAAATGTTAGCACATGAGGTAAGTAATTTTTTTAAAAATTAGACTGAAGCAGAAATAATTACTAAATGGATGCTTATGTTTTGTGATTGGTTTCTGATTGTACTTACATGTTGGTAATTACCTCCAGAATGATATTTTAAAAAAGTTTTTCCCCAGATTGAGGAACTTCTAGATTTAATAACAATTTTTAGACTAGTACAGTATGTATTATGTCTGACTTTTTCACTACAAAAAAAAAAAGATTTTGCATGTTAGGGATATAATAAAATGTAGTTGTGGAAGTTAGTATCTATGTTTTCCAAAATGACATTAGCCTCAAATTTCTTAAAGAGAAATTAAAAGAATGATACTTTTTGTTATTAAAACTGCCATCAGCAACAGCATGGTCTGTGTGAAGTAAGGGTATTCTGGGAGATGGTAGCAGAAGTGTTATATGGTATTAATAATTGCATTTATTTGATAGCACCTACATATTAGGATATATTAGGATATTAGGCTAAAAATGCCATATAAAAGAAGTCAAATGATTATCTTTCATTTATTTTTTTATTATGTTGAAAGAAAGGAGGTTTTATAAGCATTACAATTTTTGATAATGGATTGAAAATCAGCATTATTTTTAAATGCTCATATTTTAAATGCTTTATTATGGAAATTAAATTCAATTGGTGTGACTCTGACAAGGTAGATGCCAGATTTGCTATCTATTTGCAGATTTTAAATGTAGGTGGGAAATATATACGTTAGGAAATCATAGGTACTGAAGGTAAATAGTCTGTCCATCCACATACCCTACTTCAAATATTTGCAAACCAACAGCTGTATAGACAGCGAAACCAACATTTCTCTTCCCCCATATTTAATATGAAATAATTTAATACCAACAGTTGGTCCTTTGTTCTAAGAAGTCGTTAGTATTTAGGTTTTGCTTACATCACAATATTTTCTAATTTTGAACCAACATTCTCTGAACAGTGATATCCCTACATTGTATAAAAAGTGTCGATATACAGAGAGATGTTTGACAGTATTCCATAGCTACGGTTCATGATCGTGTTAGAAATTCATTCAGGTTTAAATGTAAATATTTCTTAGAATTGCTGGAAGTGACCTTTTAGTTGAATTCTGATTCTTTGACATGGGACTGCTCTGGTGTATTAGTTTACTGCATTTTAAAATCAGTGCAAATTTAAATTTAAGTGTTAAATACAACAACAAATATAATTGTTTAGTGTTATAACAGGAAATAAATAAAATGGAAAATATATATATATATTTTACTGTAGGACTTGAGAAAAGCAGGCTTGCTCATCTTTGCTAACAAACAGGACGTTAAAAGCTGCATGACGGTAGCGGAAATTTCTCAGTTCCTGAAACTAACATCTATTAAAGATCACCAGTGGCACATCCAGGCATGCTGCGCTCTTACTGGCGAAGGGTAAGAAGTATTTTGTTTGTGAATACTTTTTTTAAATAAAGATCTACTACATAAAGTAATGAGATCATGCCAAGCTCTGCAGATATAAGTAAGTCAATAGAAGAGAANTTACGCGGCGCTAGGGATTCAAACCACCAAATTGCCAACCTTTCTGATCGACAAGCTCAGCGTCTTGGCCACTGAGCCACCGCGCCCTCCCAGACTGGACTGCAAACTAAGTTAGGGTCACTGGGTGACAGTGGTTCCATTCCTACTTATGGGAATGGCCTCAGAGTGCAGTATTGGACGCACTGCATTTCTGACTCTTAGCAGTTACATTATAGGGTCCAACCAAGCCGCCTCTATTTTTGGTTGCCTGTGCTTTTGAGGATCCATATGAAACCCAGTGATGATTCGGAGGTGGGGGTGGGGGGGAAAGGTCATCAAAAGATATGTAGTGCTGGAAATTGAAATTCAGCAGGAGCTCTTGTTAGAAGATGGGTTCCGGAATACTTCTGAAACTCCCAAAGAATGCTGAGGTCCCTTCTTCTAAAGTCACTTCTATTTTGGGAGCCCAAATGATTTCTCAGGGCTAAAAATGCCAACCAGCAAGATTGGCCGATCTCCCAGCTACCTTTGGTTGGGCAGGGAAAGCCTGACCTACAGTGGGTCTCACATTCATATTCTCAGGTTACTGCGATGCATTTGGTGTGCAGGGCTCTTGCACTTGATCCGAAGCTGCAGCTGGTGTGGAAGATGCTTGGCTAGGTTGCTGAGAGGGCCACCGGCAGCTGTGTTGGCTGCCAATTTTGAACCAAGGACAAGATTGTGCTTTTGACATGCAGTACATGGCCCTTAAAACTTGCGTTAAATGAAAGAATGGCCTTTGCGATTACATTCCGAGTTGATCAGGTAGATTACAGATCTAGAAATGTAATGAAAATAAAAGAGTGCCCTCTGGTGGTTTCTCATGACTCAGCCTTTTGGGCAGTTACTGGTCCTTTGTAAAGTTTTTCTCTCTATCCCAGAAAAACGATGAAGCCTCTACTATTACATTTCTAAATCAGCTGTTACTCATACTTACATACACTTTGCAGCATAAGATCACATACAGGAATGAAGTGACAGTGACACACAAAAAGCAGATAGTTAAACATTTATTCAGCTACTTCCATGTAAATGGATCATATCTTCTAGAAATAGTGGGGTTTCTGTTGAATCTCAGTGATATAGACTATATGCAGGTAGTTCTCCACTTACAAGAGTTCATTTAGTGACTGTTCAAAATTACAATGGCACTGAAAAAGTGACTTATGAGAGTTTTTCACACAACCATTGCAGCATCTCCATGATCACATGATCAAAATTCAGGTACTTGGTAACTGGTTCATATTTATGATGGTTGCAATGTCCTGTGGTCATGTGATAAGCTTGTGCGACCTTCTGACAAGCAAAGTCAATGAGGAAGCAAGATTTACTTAACAACCATGTTGCTAATTTCAGGACTGAAGTGGTTCACTTAACACCTGTGGCAAGCAAGGTTGTAAAATCGGGCAAAACTCACTTTAACAAATGTTTCACTTAGCCACACAAATTTTGAGCTCGATTGTGATAATAACTCAAGGATTACTACATCTACTCTTATTAGAAGCACTGTAGTGGAAAACACTAGGTTATAGCAATTTGTAAGAAGTACTAAAGGATCTTATAGAAAGGCAAAATGTTACTAATAAGGTAGCGCAACACAAAAGTTGGGGAAATTGATTGGTTAATTGAGTTTTACAAAGTGAATTCTTTGTTCATTGCTAATACCTTCTTCAAGCAACACAAGCACAAACTCTATTCCTGGACAGCAGCCGATTGGAATCAAATCAACTACATAATAGGAAACAAATTGTGAAGAATTATAATTCAGCCAGTCAGGACACTTTCCATGTAGATATTGGAACAGACCATGAATTGCAGATGCTAAACCTGGAGAAAGAAAGAGTAGCATATCAAGGTGGAGGATGTCACGTCATAATGTAGGGTCAATTTCAGGAAAAAAATCTGAAAAGAAACTGAAGCAACAAAATAAACCAAATGGATATTATCTTCTGAGCAAAAAGTAGGGTAATAAATCTAGCAAATGAATAAATCAAACATGCATATCGGACAAGAGATACATGGATCTGTCAGTTTAGAGCAAGATACAAATGTATAAAGGGATGCAGTGGCTCAGTGGCTAAGATGCTGAGCTTGTCAATCAGAAAGGTCGGCGGTTTGAACCCCTAGGACCATGTAATGGAGTGAACTCCTGTTACTTGTCCCAGCTTCTGCCAACCTAGCAGTTTGAAAGCACGTAAAAAATACAAGTAGAAAAATAGGAACCACCTTTGGTGGGAAGGTAACAGTATTCCATGCGCCTTTGGCGTTTAGTCATGCCAACCACATGACCACAGAGATGTCTTCGGAGAACGCTGGCTCTTCAGCTTTGAAACGGAGATGAACACCACCCCCTAGAGTCGAGAATGACTAGCACATACATGCGAGGGGAATCTTTACCTTTACAAATGCATAGATTCATTTCTGGACCCCTATATATTGCACATATATTTCCAAATNAGGACGTTAAAAGCTGCATGACGGTAGCGGAAATTTCTCAGTTCCTGAAACTAACATCTATTAAAGATCACCAGTGGCACATCCAGGCATGCTGCGCTCTTACTGGCGAAGGGTAAGAAGTATTTTGTTTGTGAATACTTTTTTTAAATAAAGATCTACTACATAAAGTAATGAGATCATGCCAAGCTCTGCAGATATAAGTAAGTCAATAGAAGAGAATATATTTAGCTCAGTTCAACTATGGAGTCCTTGGTGCTATCTTAGTTTGGTTACAGGTAGTCCTCAATTTAAAACCATTTGTTTAGTGAATGTTTGAAGTTACAAGGACACTGAAAGAAGTGACTTATGACCAGTTTTCACACTTAAAATCATTGCAGCATCCCCATGGTCATGTGATCAAAATTCAGGCACTTTGCAACTGGCATGTATTTATGACAGTTGCACTGTTCCAAGATCCTGTGAACATTATTTGTAACCTTCCTAGCTGGCTTCCAATAAATCAGCATGGGAAGCCAGATTCACTTAATTATCACATGATTCACTTTACTGCAGAGATTCATTTAACAGCTATGGGAAAAAAAGTTGCAAAATGGGGTAAAAGTCACTTAACAATTGCCTTGCTTAGCAGCAGAAATTTTAGGCTCAATTGTGGTCGTAAGTTAAGGACGTTTGTATTTGTTTGCAAAGATTTCATTACCCATCTAAGTAACATCAGCAGTGCTAGTGAGTGTGAGGTTTGCTCTGTTTGTATACAGTAGCTTGCCTTACCAGTGTTGATGGAAGTGTGGTTTTCCCCTTTGTAGTTCCTTGATTAGGATATTGCTTTCTGCTTGGATTTTTGTGTCAGGTTAATCTCTACTTGTCTAGTTTTTTTTAGTTCCCTTCTTGGCTTCTCATCTGTTTTGAATGATGTACAAATATAGCTTATTTCTGTGTTTATTGACAACTGCTTTATCTGAGTGTGCAGCTTCTAGGAATTCTCTGGTATTTTTGGATTTAACAATTTTGGATTTGGCAATTTTGTCTAAATTGCTAACTATGGTTAAATCTACCTGTGTGTTGTGAGAGTAATAATTTTCATCATTTTTTTCTGACTACAGCTTGGTGTTCATGGATGTGCTCTGCCAGTCTTTTGCCTGTCTCTCCTATAACATGGCTGTCTTTCCATTATTTGTTGTGGATGATTCTGGTTTTTTTTTCATGGATTATTAGATTTTTTGTTTTACCGAAGATAATTTGGAAGGCTTTAGATGGTTGCCATACTATGGTGATATGTGGTTGTAATAGTTATTGGTTGTTTTTGAGATGTTTATGATAGTGTTAGCCTTTTTGTAGCTTCTTTTGGTTGTGCTACAGTGGATTGAATGGTCAAGTATTTTTGTTAAAGTTATGTGAGTTGGAAGCTGTTGTCTAGGCAGTCTGTTTGTTTTTTCTGGAGTTCTGATTGCTGTAGTGAATTTGTGTTCGTCTAAGTCACGGGTGTCAAACTCGATTGCGACATTTTTTGCCTTTGTGGAACTGGGGCGGGCATGGCCTGCCCATGAAGCATCTGGCCCGTGGGACACCAGTTTGACAGGCCTGCTCTAAGTAATGTTCTTACACAGTTCCTCTTGTGGAAGGTTACTTTTATAATGAAGCATTTTGTAAGTGTGTATTGTTTTTTGGTAGACTTAGCATATTTAATTTGACAATGAGCACAAATGCTCTCCATAGCCCAAAAAAGGAAAAGGAGGAAACCACACCACCACCAATACTGGCAGAACAAGTTATTGTATATACACAGGGAGCACGCCCTACATTGACTAATACTGATGATATTACCTAGGGGGGTAATGAAGTACCTACAAACAAACAACCAAGTTTAGAGAGCAGCAAGGATTCTATAAGTCAGTATGATAGCACTGAATACATAATGGTTGGTATGTTTTTTCTTTGGCAGAAATGTTTTGTTTAAATGTCAGTTTTAAAAGATGAGCATTGGGAGCTCTCAAGGTTTTATGGTCTGCAGTAGGTAAATTGTGGAAGCTGCCAAGGGAAACTTAGATTATATTCACATGAAAGATTTCAGGATCAAGGTTTTAACTAGCAAAGCCAAAGAACTTCGGTTTTGCTCAGGCTTTTAAGGTAATTACTAAATTGAGTATAGAAAGCAGTTGGCAACATGCCGATTTTTCAGCATAGTTATGATTTGAACATGTTACTATGTGTTCATTAGCAGTCTTAGTCATCACAGTTTTAGCAATTGATATTCAAATGCTCTTCAAGGGTGGCTTTGAGTAGAACGAAATATAGTAGTCTGATCGATGTGTATTTCTAATTGTCATATAGTCTTGAGAGGTTACCTAAGCAATATCAAGAAAATGTTTTCATTTTATATGTTTTATTATAAAGAAAATATTTGGGGTTTTAATTTTTACTTTATATATTTTATAAAGAATTTATAGGGGGAAAACGTCAAAATATCTAAATACAAAAAAAAAAAAAANAGAACCGGTTGTTAAATGATTTGAATCCCACCCCTGGGATGGGTGCTATGCCGTCCTATATAGCCACATTTTTTAAGCCAGGCACATGCTCAGAATACGTATGCGAGCAAAGCACATGCGTGAAAGGCCAGGCGCATGTGCGGAAGGTGCGCATGTGCGCAAAGCGAGTGTGCATGTGTGGTAGAAACAGTGGTAAAAATAAGTGAAACCCACTGCTGCATTGAAAATTGTATTGTTCAGAGGTGGGTTTCACATAATTTTACCCCCCGGTTCGCTGCACACTGAAACTGTGAGTGTGTGTGGCTTGGATGTATGCACGTGGCCTTCCACACATGTGCTTTGCTCTCGTATGCAGCTTGCACACATCCATGTGGCTTAGAAAATGTAGCTAAATAGGACGGGATAGAGCTGGGGCGGGTGGGCTGGTGGGCCACCCCCACCTGCAGGTCACCACTACTGGTTCGCCCAAACCAGTCCGAACCGGCTGAATACCACCACTGGTATTGTTCTTCCTAAGGTCCTCTTGACAACAGCACTCAATTGTCGCTGTATCTTCATCTCAGTTCCTCTTTTATGTTTTCCAAAGCATGCATGTTACTATCTTTTCTTTTTTGCCCTCCAACATTGGGTAAATTTGCCTGTGAATTGGCTCACCATCACATGAAACTATGATCGGCTTGGCCGATGAATAAACTTTCATTAGATAGTTTGCTCAACAAAACCCAAAGTCATAACCATGGTTTGCGTACAGCAATATCTAGGTCCATTTATAAACAAGCATCTAGCCAAGCTCTTTATGGCTTAATGTAAGATATATCATAGTTTTTCTGTTCACATTCCTGCCTGCTGTGTACAATTATTCTTATTTCCTTCCTGTTCCTTCTTGTCCAATTAAGCATCTCCAACTTGAGTAGGAATTCATGAATTGAAATCTTTTTAATGGTTCTCTGAAGGATCCATTTCTTTTCAGGCATTTTGCCAGTACTGAGACATACTTACCCAAGAATAAGCTGATTCAAACCCAATTGTGCAGCTCGATGTACTAAAATATTGCATTCCCACATGAACCATCATCATCTTTTATCAACCCCATAATCCCTTGCGGTGTGGAGTCTGAGCAACTGGATGGAGCTAGAAGAGTGTTTACTGGCCGCATGCCCTTCCTGTCGCCATGCAGAGTTTTGTTCAGCAGATATATTCTCATTGTGCCCAGAGAGAGAAATACCCGTATTTTTCGGAGTATAAGACGCACCGGAGTATAAGATGCAAGATTTTGAAGAGGCAAATTAAAAAAAAAAACATTTTTGTACTCTGCAGACCTCCCGTTTTTAAACAAAAAAAGGGCACACATAGCCTTTAGGAGGCTTATAGAGTGTTCCTGGGAGCTGAGAGGGTGCAAAAATGAGCAAAAAACGGTTCTTTCCTAAAGGCAATGAATGGCCATTTTTGCAAAGGGTTTCAGGAGGCCAAAAATGCTGTATTTAGTGTATAAGACACACCCAGATTTTCACCCTCTTTTTTGAAGGAAAAAGGTACGTCTTACAGTCCGAAAAATACGGTATCTGCCTCTACCTAGGATTGAACTCACAGCCTCCACACCACTCTGCTTTCCCACATGAACAAGGAGGTAAAATTTGAGCCGGGAGCAGTAAAAAGTATGGACCCATTAAAAAAAAAAAAACTAGGAGTTTCACCAATTTGTCTTTTGAAAATAATATCAGTGGATATTATTTTAAAAGTGGTTAAGATTGACTCTATGGGAAATCGCTTCTACATTGTGGGGAACGAGCAAGAAAGGCAGCTGGTATAAATCCTTAAAATTTGATCTTAGCATTGCAACCTAAATCAGCAAGTGCTTCGACAAGTGGGGATTTTCCAGCTAAGCCCCAAATGTTGACATTTCTGGTGATTCGAGGCAATCCCACCACTTTTCTTCTTTCTTTCAGCAGGTTTGAGACAATTTGAAAAGGAGCCTTAAAGGAAGCCACCAATTACGCTGGACCAACTCGGTTTTCAAAAACAGAAGTGCTAAAATTTGTCCTTTCCTTTTTATATATATTTATGTTTGTTTTTGTTGGTTTACTTGGGAGGGGGCGGGAGGGGTTGGCTACATTATCCCAGTTTTTAAGGAAACCATGTATATTAGCACTGTATTTAATATTCAGTCTTAAAACATTTGTCTTAATAGTAGTGCCTTTGAACAAGAGCCTTATTCCTCAAAAAAAGAAAACCATGCTGTGAAAGAGAGAGAGACTTCTACTGACAGAGTCTCAACAAACTATATGTCCAGGCAGGAGGAGAAGGGGACATCTACTGTGCACATCTTCCATTTGTGGGTCCTATCCCAAATAGATGAGGCCAACCCAGGCCTAGGATAGGAGGAACAGAGGCCGGATCATTCACAACAGTGGTGGGTTCCTCTCCCCGTCACTACCGGTATGCTGCACATGGGGCCGGGCATCCTGGTCGTGCATGCGTGCTGCGCATATATGTGCACTCCACTGCCCCTGCGACACCAAGCTGCTTGTCGAAGGTTGCGCAGGCGCCGCACGCTGTGTGCGCAGGCGCAGTTGGCCAACCGGTTGCTTTAAAAACAAGCATGGAACGCGGGCGGGTGGGTGGACCA